AATTACCACGCGTTGAATTACCAGTCGCTGAATTACCATGCGTGGAGTTACCACGGGTAGAATTACCACGCATCAAATTACTACGCGTAGAATTACCACGCGTTGAATTACCACGCGTAGAATTACCACGCGCCGAATTACCACGCATCAAATTACCACGCGCTGAATTACAACGCATCGAACTACCACGCGCCGAATAACCACGTATCGAATTACCACGCGTCGAATTACCACGCGTTGAATTACCACGCGTTGAATTACCGCGTGTAGAATTACCACGCGTCGAATTACCACTACCACGCGTAGAATTACCACGCGTCGAATTACTACGCGTCGAATTACCACGTATGAAATTACCACGCGCTGAATTACCACACGTTGAATTACCAGTCGCTGAATTACCACGCGTCAAATTACCACGCGTAGAATTACCACGCGTCGAATTACCACGCGTTGAATTACCACGCGTTGAATTACCGCGTGTAGAATTACCACGCGTCGAATTACCACGCGTAGAATTACCACACGTCGAATTACCACGCGTTGAATTACTACGCGTAGAATTACCGCGTGTGGAGTTACAACGCGTGGAATTACTACGCGAAGAATATAATATAGTTGGTAGTTTATATAGAGTTGGTAGGTAAAAGAAATTAGCACTAGGTCACGCGACATTTTGACACATTTCGAATTTGTTTTACGAAAATTACAAAAACTGTTCGCATTTTTATTTTATCTTGTACTGACTTTTATGGTAAGTGCAAAGGTTTAAGTAATAAAAACATCATTTTATAATACATTATAAATAGTAGTAATAATATTACTTTATAAAATGCATTATAAAGAAGTGCAATTAAGAAGTGCAAAGGGTTAAGTAATAATAAAATTATAAATAATAACAATATTAATATAAACTGCAATTAAATAAGAAAAATGCTATTAATATTGCAAGAGCAAATTTGAATGAAATACCACTAATAAACTTAATACAATAAAATTAATGCAATTAATTTGAAATTAGTTGCCTCGTTATGTAATTGAATCATGCTTCATTTCGTATTTAATGACATAAAAGTATTACTAAATAACAGTTATGGTATATCAGTTTCTATAATTAGGTCTGATGGAAATGACTGTATTAATATTGCATCAGTGTTCTTAATATAACACGATTAATTCGATGTAATAAACAATGAATCAGCCGATCGGCGGCGCACAAGAGGAACGACCTTCGGAAACTGGTTTAGTAGAAATTTAATTAGTATAATTACAGGAAACATGAACATTATTCATTTTGTAAAATTATGGTGTAGATTTTATAAGATAAGATTTTATATTTCAAGCTTTTTGAAACGTTTGTTTTGTTTATCTGAGTGTTGTGATTTTTCAAGTTTTAAACTTTTAATTTTTAAATTTGGAAATTCTTATATTCTTAAATTTTTTAATATGTAAGTTTTTAGGAAATTTAAAATAGATCAATTTTCCAGTTTTCAAGTTTTTGTATTAACAAATAGTTTAATTTGTAAGATGTTAAATTTATAAATAATCAAATTTCCAAATAATTCAATTTGTAAGAGCTTATATTTATAAATAATCAAATTTCTAAATAGTTAAATTTTCAAAGAATTAAATTACCAAACAGTTGAATTTCTAAATAATTCAATTTCCAAACAGAGCCCCCAAATAATTAAATTCCCAAATTTCTGAATGACTAAGTTTCCAAATTGCTAAATCACGAAATCTCCAAATTTACTATAGTAAAATTACTATAAGCTAATACAGTAAAAATATTATAAATTTTATTGTCCAATACTTTCATGTCATCAAATTTACAAATACCATCAAATCAATCACTCTCTACTGCCCATTGCATTTTATTATGCATTAAAAATATTAATAAAAAATTGACATAATCGTCTTTCTCAAATTTTATCAAACTTCTAATTCACATCTGTAAACTTCACAAGTACTGTAAAAAATGATATCACATCTTGTCCGCTTCGAATTCTGTTTGATATGCAACAAACTAATACTACTGTATAATAAAAACTGAACAAAATTTTGTGTATCAATTAGAAATTGATACAAGAATAGAAGTACATCAGTATCTTTACTTGTATAAATATGGTAACTTTTATAATAAATTTTTCTCAATTTTTATAAATATACAACTTACCCACTCATCGATATTTGCAAGAGTTCTCAATTTAAAACACTTTATTAAATTCGAATCAGACTTATCTGCAGCACATTAGAATATATCGTGTCTGGTTCTAATCTGCAGAATTATGTACATATTTTCTAAATTTCCCTCCGTCTACTTACGTCAATTGGATCTCTTAAATTCGCTTTACGATCGACTCTGCGGATCTGCACTCTTTGAAAATTGTCTGCAGAGTACATTTTGCACGGTGACTTAAGAAACTGAAATTTCTACTTATCAAAACGAATACTAACTGAATTACGACGAGAAATATTGCAGAATATTGCATGGTTTGTCTTAATTAATCAGAAACGTGAACAAAATGCACAGTTCTAAAAAATGTGAATTATAACAAACTTCTGTTTTCTATACTCTTGGGAAATGAACAGTTCGTTACAATTTGAATAGAATTTTTGTTGAATCAGAAACTAAGATTTACACATACACGCGAGTATATAATTATTCTAATCGTATTTCCACTTATTTGTATATACAAGACGAAAGCACAAAGTACGGAAACGTACGTAAAAATTTGTGAAACAATAACGTCTCTGTCATGGAACAATAATGTTGTGTATTATAGTGTGACACGGTGTGTGTTGGTGAAAGACTCCTGCTATAATTAACCCTCTAGATTATTGGCTGATATATAACAATCGTGGGAATTTACGTGTACACGAACTGTACAAATTCACCTTCGATTTTCTACCTTTTCGTACTTCAAAATACTTTCGATTAATTAGTTGGCTTCAAACACTTTTAAATCAAATGAAACGTATTTCATAGTGTAATTATTTTGAGATACGTGAAATGACTCAGATTATAATTGTTCGTATTTGTACATTTTTATACGTACAATGTTTGTACAATTTTATTCGTATATATACGTATTAGGGTGTTTCATAATTAGGTCCCCGAAATGGGAGATAGTCGACGTGATTCTGAATAAGATTTCCCTTTGCAGAAATGGGATTTGAAGCTTCGCTTTTGAATTATTGAGGAAAACGCGGATCAATCAGAGCGCACGTAATCCTTGCGTTGGGATTGGTGAATTAGCACGGGTGGAATTACTACGTATGGAATTACCATGCATCGAATTACCACGCGTCGAGTTATCAAACGTTGAATTACCACGCGTAGAATTACTACGTATCGAATTATCATGCGTCGAATTATCACGCATCGAATTACCACACATCGAATTACCACGTATCGAATTACTACGCGTCGAATTAATACGCGTAGAATTACCACGCGCTGAATTACCACGCTTTGAATTACCAGTCGCTGAAATACCATGCGTGGAGTTACCATGCGTGGAGTTACCATGCGTGGAACTATTATGCGTAGAATTACCATGCGTGGAATTACTACGCGTAGAATTACCACGCGTTGAATTACCAGTCTCTGAAATACCGTGCGTGGAGTTACCATGCGTGGAGTTACCATGCGTGGAACTACTATGCGTAGAATTACCACGCGTGGGATAACCACGCGTCGAATTACCACGCATTGAATTACCAGTCGCTGAATTACCATGCGTGGAGTTACCACGCGTGGAGTTACCATGCGTGGAATTACTACGCGTAGAATTACTACGCGTGGAATTACCATGCGTGGAATTACTACGCGTGGAATTATTACGCGTAGAATTACCATGCACCGAATTACTACGCGTAGAATTACCACGCGTGGAATTACTACGCATAGAATTACCACGCGTCGAATTACCATGCGTTGAATTACCACACATTGACTTATTGGTCTTTGTTTTTCCTTAATAACTCAGAAACGAAGCTTCGAACTCCATTTTTGGAAAGGGAAATCAGAATCACATCAGCTACCCCTCATTTCAGGGATCTACACTAATTGTGACACACTGTAATCATGTATAAATTATTTGTACAAAATATACGTATAATAAATTGTATAAAATAC